AATTTTTCAGCACTAATAGAAAAAAGCTCGGTCTATTCAGTGGCGTAACCCGTAATACTGCAGTCCGTCTAGATTTGGAAAAATGAATTATTAGAAATTAGTTTGTTAGAGTTTGGCGCATTTTACTTGCTCATAATTGCACCTGTACATTTAAACAATCGCCAAAAATCAACGAAAACTGGCAAAACAGCGCATTTTTTGGCATTAGTAGAGCAAAGTGCGGTCTGTCCAGTGGTGTACCAAGCCTCGCTCACTTTTATCTGGTATTCGAGAAATTAATTATTGAAAATCAATTTGTTAGAATGTGGCACATTTTGCTTCCTCACATGTGCGTGTCTATATTTAAAAAATCACCAAAAATGATTGAAAATTGACATTTTATTGCATTTTTTGGCACTAACGGAGCAGAGTGCGCTCTATCCAGTAGCGCAACAAGCGTCGCTCTGCCTTGTCTAGTTCCTAAAAAATCAATTTGTTTCCGCCCAACAACCGTGTTCTTCACATTCGCACTCGCACGCTTAAAAAATCGTAAAAAATCAACGACAACCACCATTGAAGTGATTTTTTTGGGCACAATAGCAGAAAGTTTGCTCTATACAGTCGCGTGCTAAGCATCACCTTACTTGATCTAGGTTTCGATGAATAAATTATTCAATATTGATTTGTTTCAATTTGGAATTATTAAGCTCCCATATGGAAGCCAGTTCATAAAAAATTGCCAAAAACCCCAAAAAAAACTAGCATTGAAGTGAGTTTGTGGCTCAAAACAACAGAATCTCGCCCTATACAGTGGCGCAACAAGAATTGCTCTAGTTGGTCCCGTTTTTGCACGAATTATTTGTTTCCGCTTACAACCGTTTGGCCCACATCTGCACTCGGATGCGAAAAAAATCCCCAGAAATCAACCAAAATCAGCATTAAAGTGATTTTTTCAGGACTAATAGAAGAAACCCCAGTCTATCCAGTGAGATAACCAGCACTGATCTAGCTTGGCTAGGCTTCGAGATATGATTTATTGAAAATCAATGTTTGCTATGGGTCGACATATTTCTGCCTACTCGGGTACTCCCATTTAAAAAAAATCGCCAAAACTCAACCAACGGTGCCATAGCAGTGAATTTTTAGGTTTAGGAGAAAAACCGTGGCGCAACAAACCAGTTTGTTGCGTTTTTACAAAATAAATAATTTAAAATGAGGTGCGGGTGTTTAACACTCAAGCAAGAAAACCAGCTTGTTTACTACACGCAATTCTAATCAGTTTTGACAAAATCTCAGCCCGAAGAGTTAATGATTGTTTGTAATAATCAGATCAGATCAGTTCCAATCATTAAAAGTACCTTCGGAGGGCTGCAGCTCTATAGATCCATAATGCACGTCCACATAGCCATTAAACGGCGCCCTTTTCGAACACTTGAACAATAGTGTGCCGTTCTCAAAGTTCGTCTTCATCTTCATCACTTTGCTCTTATGAGCCATCGTTTCCTCACCGAATCGCCTTCAGTTCACCCGAACACTCAGCGACTCGCCTTTAGCTCTGTCTGCATCTCTTGTCGAACTCGTACGGCCCTGAAGTGCGATTTCGTAACCCGATTAGCGCTTCCATCTTCAATCTCTTCCTCTAGCATCCAACCCGGATCTACATACTGCTAACGAACCACTCGAATTGATGATACAGTTGCTACGCTCGCCCTTTATCTAAATTGCCTGATGATCGGATGGATCTTTATAAAAGTTTTAAATAACTTCTTATCTTCCCTCGCTGATAACATTGATTGAAGAGATAACAGCTCCGAATGTTTGCCAGGAAACAATATGATGGATGTGAAGTGCTTTGATCTATCAAGAGAGAAGCGTGTGAGCGACTTTTTCAGTATCAAAGAGCATGAATAAGGTTCAATGTTAAAAGTTATGTATGGTGTAGACGCGGGGTGTTATAACGCATTGGCGCACAGCGCGGCGTCAACCCCCAAAGCGCCACACAACACAGTGTTACCCAGGCCTGCTCTAGAGGGGTTCCATTGCCAGTATGAGAGCATGACTTATTTACGAAAGAAGTCGATTTAGAAGGTTTTGGATGCCACTTTGAGACCCGCAGGGCTTAACGAATGGGGTTTCAAGTCTGTATCTGAACTATAAAATCCGCGATCGGGCAATTTCCATTAACATGTTGACATTGCCCATGTCCGATCGAAGTCACCCAGTTAACGAGAAATCGAGCCAATCGATCGCCGTTGTCCGCATGATCGATCGGATAAAGTTCGCCTTCGTTAACTAGCACCCCTTAATTAATTACTGTAAGAATTTAATTGGCGCAGGCGTGACAAACATTATTTATTGCCGCTTGATTATGGACAACCGGAATGCAAATGGTGGCGATCGCGATCGGTTCACTTGACGTGCAATCGTCCATCGTTCTGCGACTGCATCAGTTAAGAGCCTTCGAATGGCCTTTGCTGAGACTTGCTCGAGAGGTGCGAACCTTTTCACGGATTATTTGCACGAAACCAGTTCACATAACCTCGAAAACCCCCCAAGTGTCAAACGAAAATAACCTCAAAACCGTTGAATGACACCAGTGGTTCACTTGATGCGCAATTGTCCATTGTGCTGCGCGTTCATCAGATTGGGGCGAGGTGTTGCATAACCTTTAAAACGCTAAGAGCTAAACTCACTCCAGCGTTGCCAGCACTATCACGTTTGTGAGATTCAGTGCTAAAAGCAATTATTTATAAAGGAATTTAGCTTCAGTTAATCGTAAAAACACTGTCTAAGTTACGTTTGGATTTTGCGGTGTTTTACAAACTGGTCAAGCTATCGAGTGACTTTTGTATGGATCTTGTTGGGCATAGTCTGTTTTATAAGTGGTAAAAGTTGCGATTTTGAGTGATCATCAGGCTATTTTGACGATTTTTTCAAAATTGCGATCGAATTTTCTGGATGCTGCCCAATGTTTGGCATTTATTTGCTCAGAAGCCATTGAAGATGGAGGGCCACTTTTTGACGTATTTGCAGGAAAAAGAACGGTCTTTTTCTAGAATTAGTTTCGATTTTCAGTCAACATCAGGTCATTTTTGAGATTTTTTAAGTGTGCAATAAAATTTTGTGGTTGTCCATGCAGGCCTAAGTTTGGTATTTATTTTCATAGAGTCCAGTGAAGGCGGATGCTTTCTTCCAGGTGCACTTTGTAGAGCAAAGTGCGTTCTATATGCTGCAAAAGTTTCGATTTTCAGTCATCATCAGGCTGTTTTCACGAATTTTTTAAAGTTGCTCGAGAATTGTTCGGTTGTTGGCGCAGTCCAAGTTTGGCATTCATTTGTCTCTTATCCAGAAAAGTTGGGGCGTCACCTTTATGCAAATTTCATAGGCCAAGGCATGTTCTATACGAGACAGATGTTTCGATTTTCACTCATCCTCAGGGAGTGGTCATAAAATGTGCTCGAATTTTGTGTGTATTTTCTGCTTGCTTATGCCGGCAGGCAGGAGTTTCTCGGTTATTTCCTGGGACTTTTGCAACACCTTTTCAGCTCATACTCCGCTTTACACGTGGCAAAAGTTTCGAATTTGAGTCATCCTCAGGAAATTCTCGAGAATTTTTGAATATGCCTTTTTCGCAGGCTTTTGAGTGGTCTACTTGAATGGGCGTCGCGACGCCATCAAGCGTCCCTATCGCCTCCCTCCGGCCTGCAGACATGCCAAGCCGTGCGGAAAAATGATAGCGAAGGGTTCGAGCGTTTCGTCCGTGCGTCTTATCGGGCCGCACACATACAAAATCGCTGCTTATGACCGAAATATCAACGTTTCCTTTTGCCACGGCCATCGAGTTCATCAAGTGCCGCCTAACTGCAGGTGCGATATAAAACTCACTGAAAACACAAGCGCAACAAAGCATTCTTCAATGCGCCTGATGGAATCCTGAACCCGCACGATGCATACCGATCGCGCATTGCATGTAGGTTCTACTTCATTTCATATGGATTTTACACCTGGTGAGCTGGGAATTATTGTTATTAAGCGGGCCCGATAAGGCATGAGAATGTTCGAGTAGAAACGACGACAGGAAGCGACTGAGCTAGAAGTTGCCATTCCAACGTCTAAAAAACAATGAATTGGGAAAATTATCAAAAGGTCAAGTAACCGTACATAAACGCCGAAAGTGACAATGACAATAATGAGGTTAGGGTCACCGGTAAGGGCTTCTTACAGCTTGTGATATGTCAGTTTTCTTTACGATTCCCCCCTTATTAGTTTGGCGTATCACGTCGGCCTAGCAGCAAAGGCCACCGGCCACGTCCAAACTGCACGTGCCACTTGAATTTTTCCTGCAATCCGATAGGATCGAATCACACGCATCCGGTGACAGGACAAAAGTCAATGACAGCATTTGATTCGTCCGGATTACCGGAAGCCGCCCATAAGGGTGGATTGTCTTCGCGATGTTAACGGGCTTCCGCAGTGGGAACTTTCCATCATCAGGCGCTGATGGCGTTGTATCGGTGTCGAATTTTTTCCCGTCAATCAGGCAAATTTCCCGATCGCAAACGCTGACGCCGTCATATTTACGAGACGCCCGATAAGGCCCATTCGGCACAATGATGCCGCAGACAGTGACAAACCTGTCGAATGCACGGAAATGATTCGATCTATCTGGTTCGATAGCGCCTTTTCTCACAGTAAATTTAACACTAGATTGTCATGTGAACGTGACACAATCAACGCTGCCTGTGGACGTTATACCACCAAAACAAACGCCGGTGCGATTTGCGTTTTTTATTCAATTAGCTCTCTAATGCCCAAAATATCTTCGAAAAGTTGGTAGGGAAAAGTCCAAAGTAAAAGCTCTATTGGAAGTTGAAATCTCCAAATGATTTTACTCAAAGTCGGCTGGGCTGAGAGCATGACTTTGTGACAAGGAAAATGCTTTTAGGTA